GATTTAGGGAAGAAAATGTCGCAAACCGGAGTGGTGGTCCTTAGTTTTGACCACTTGAAACTAGAAACGTCAAGTCAAATCCCAAAAATTTTAGGTCAATCCAAGAAAACCACAAATAGTGAGACCGAACACCATGATGCAAACAGTAAATCATTAGAGAGCCATTATTTGATCGATTTCCACCACGAAATTTCAATCAGGATGTTAGATCTGTAATCAAACAGATCTAGGGTTTCAAAACCAAGAATGAGATTTCAATAGATCTGGTTGTGAAAAATGAAAATTGATTTACCACAAGCAGACCACAGACGAAGGAACATCAACAACCATTGATGGCTCTGATACCACTATTACACCAAGAAAATAAAAATAACCCAAAGGTCATACAATATCAGTATCTCAGATTTATACTCAAATATAGATAAAAAAAAATCATTAGAATCAGGATATCCTCGATCTAGGACTCAGACACTTTGTACCCTTCTATACAAATCGAAAGAACGAACCCCGAACCCTCATGGCCAATCGAAGTTAATTCTATGAACTAAGAGTCCCCAAATTGAAACTGAGCACTCTTTTCTCACAGATCGAATCACAGAGACTCAGAATCACCAAGAAACCAAAGAGATCAATCAACCAAAGGTTGAAAACAGAAACAGAGAAGACAAAAAATAGAGGGCAAAACTCAAAGATGATTCTAGAACCTACCCAAGGAAACAGACGACATAAAAGTGATTAGGGCAAATGCATATTATCTAATTTATACAATCCAACCATCACCTTAGATCTCAGATGGAATCAAAGGTTCAAAGCATCTAATGATTTCTCATCTCTTAAGACAACTACAGTCGTTCTTTCAAAGTGCGAGTTTGGCCATTTACTGGGTTTGGGATATTAGGCTTCTTCTTCATTGAATTATCAGGCAATGAAAATATAAACCCGACAAGTGAGCTTAGCCCAGTTTTCATCATAGCCTAATTATTTTGGATTGGCATCACAACCCAAACATCGTGTTCCTTTCATTTCATTGACTTGCACATGCTAAGGTTGCATAAGTGAAGGCATCGATTGAACTGGTTGATCCATTCTTTCGACATGCATTTCCATTCCAATTGCCTTGGCAATTTTTCCTTTTAAAGCTTCAACTTTTTGACTTGCTGGCCAACTTGATTTATTAAACCATGTCATATGTCTTGCAAATTCAATTTTTTTGTGGATTATTGGTAAAGATAAAGATATCAAGTTGATAGTTACAGGCACAAAAGCTTTTCCATGCCACAACTAAAATATGCCTATAGCCCTCCATTCATCTATGTAAGAGGACTTATCCTCGGATCAAATTTAGTAAATATGATAGTGAACATAGTTCTTGTTACGGAAATCTTCGAGAAATCTTGATCCGGGCTCAGTTTAATTAACCAAACAAACACCAACCGAAGAGGCTTGACTCACAACTTTTACCACTCATTGGTTGCCACAAGTTTACACACCCACAAAGGGTACACTTGGTGGTGGTGATATGCAAGCCACAAAGGCGAGAAGAAAAAGTGGAAGAATAGGCACAAAAGAAGTTAATACAATGACAACCACCAGATCTTTCTTCAAGCACAAAGCACACACTTTTTTCTCATTTGCACGATCACATACTAACAAAGACTAAAAGATATGGATATATATAGCACTAGTTAGATCACTCCAATTGGACCAAAGTTCACTAAATGGGCTGCCATTTAAAGATGACAACTAACCGATAATAAATGGGCCACCATAAATCACCATCCAACTAATAACCACAACTTGGGTCATCTACGAGTGTTGGACCACGAGCAACATTAACTCAATTAAGTTGCTTCTAGTAGCCCCAATTTATTTTCGGGTCAAGCCATCACTATGGTGTCGATATAAATTATCCAACGTCAATTTAACATCATCGCCCGGCATTTATTGGATATCAAAAACCTAACAAATCTCCATCTTGATACCCAATCAATCTGCAAGCAATGAAAACACAAAGTTAACGCTTGCATAATCAAGACAACCAATAAAATTGCTCACACCTAGAGAGCACATATCTTACATCATCGCCCACCAAGCTCACTAGACCGAAACTGTTAGACCTCTATAGATCTTAAGTCTTTAGGATAATCCTTTATCACCATATTACTTCTCCCAACCTAAGTGGATAATGGGTCTCCACCTAACGGAAGTGATAGAAGTATCTCTCTCACATTCCACCTGATCAGGGTTTCTTCACAGATAATGGATTCCAACATTTGATCACCTCTCCACTCATGATCCAAATGTTACAATCCACATCCCCGGTACAAACCACCAATGTACCCCTAGGCATCTATACTCCACATTAACAATAGACATCCTCACTCTTAATGCATCACAAAACCACTATGGCAAATCAACACCTTTGGCGACCACAAAGGTTAGAACTTGATATAAATCAACCCGCGCACAGCAAGGTTACTCCAACACCAATGCTCAAAAATCCATAGAGGAATTAGGTGAAGGTGGCACTCACTAAGAGATTAGAAGAAAGAATTGGTTACTTCAGTACACTCACAAAAGAGACTCACAAGGATAAAAAAGATAACCCACATATGGCTGCCTCACATAATCTCACAAACTACATAGGCTCACAAAGATGAAGGTGAAAATGGATGTCCCTATTTCTTCTCACTACCACTTACAGAGAAAAAGGAGTACCCCATAGATTTCAGCCCACTATGCATGCAAATACATTACAAAGTAATCATATTCCTCTCAAATTCATGCAAATGCACATATCAAACACATTGAAATGCACATATAACCATGCAACAAAATTAAGCAATTACACACATGCAGAAATGATTACACACAATGCATATGCAACATTCGTCTCACATTTCTCCTTATTTTTCCTTTTATTATCATTTATAGGACAATCTATTTCAGCATGTCCAAATTTACCACAGTTAGAACACATCTTATTTTTCACACTTGCCTTAGACCTACATTTGCCATCAAAAATTTTATGAAAAAGCTTTTCATTTTGTCAAATTTAAAAATCATATTTTTCATTAAAAATGCACCACTCAAAATGTGTTGTCATTTTACCAAAAAATATACAAAACACAAAATGCAACCAAACGACGACCACAAGCAAAGTACAGGCACAATTCACACAGAATGGTCAAATAAACTTTTCTAAGATTACTTGCAATTCTAATAATGGAAATTAATTGACAACAAATTTACGAATAATTCAAGGCAAGTAATTAACAAGTAATTCCTAAATCTAGCAATAGGCAATGGTTACCCCTTCACGGTAATCCCAATCCTAATGTCACCTCACGCAATGACTTCTAATGCGAAAAATAAATTGTTATCATACTCAATAATCATAACTGCAAAAATAAAAGGGAAAGAACACGATACCGAGCGGACCACGTCTAAAGGTCCATAAATATCGAGAGATACGAATTCACAACTTTAAGGCTATCACTATCCGTCTCAAAACTTCCGGCAACCGCAGCAACACAAAACGACACCCGATCATCGAAGGGCAAAATCATCCAATATTCACAGTATCGCCCGAAATTGAAAACGGACACCACCATACGGTTTGCCACGCCACCAAAAACATTCTGCCTGAAGACTTCGTCGCCTCAGATCGCCACGAGCGGGACCACTAGGTGCGCCTCCGTCTGTACAGTCCACTGGTTGTCGCCGTTTCTCCAAAGGATTAGTGGTTTCGCCGAAAAATGCAAAAACAGGTTCAGCGGAAATTTTAAAACAAACTGAGCAGTTTTTGTTTCTGTTTTTCTGCCGGTTTCCGCAATGTTTCTGGATACTTTTGGTCGATTTTTCACTCCAAAAATCATATATTTCACAACTACCCAAACTCTGATACCATTTGTCGTGAAAATCTTCGAGAAATCTTGATCCATGCTCATTTTAATTAACCAAGCAAACACCAACCGAGGATGCTCGATCCACAACTTTTACCACTCCTTGGTTGCAACAAGTTTACTCACCCACAAAGGGTACACTTGGTTGTGGTGATTTGCAAGTCACAAAGACGAGAAGAATGAAAGAATAGGCACAAAAGAGGTGAATACAATGGCAACCACCGGATCTTTCTTCAACCACAAAGCACCCACTTTTCTCTCATTTGCACCATCACACACTAACAACGGCTGAAAGAGATGGACATATATAGAACTAGTTAGGTCACTCCAATTGGGCCAAAGTTCACTAAATGTGCTGCCATATAAAGACGACAATCGACCGATAATAAATGGGCTACCATATATCACCATCCAACTAATAACCATAACTTGGGCAATCCACGAGTGTTGGACCACGAGCAACATTAACTCAATTAAGTTGCTTCTAGTGACTCAAGTTATTTTCGAGTCGTGTCATCACTAAGGTGTCGATATAAATTATCTAGCATCGGTCGAACATCATCACCCTAGATTTATTGGGTATCAAAAACTCAATAGTTCTTATTGTATTCCAACAATTCAAAACTGCATATGACCTTTCAAATGATTCAGTTTTGTCACCTCACACAGTCTTGTTGAAATATATGATTGGATTTATCCCATCAGAGCATATATCAAATATTCAACTTTAAAAAAGGATGGTTGCTAGTAAGAGTGCTAGGAGAGTTTAGCATGAACAAGCAAAAGCCGATACAAGCAACTTCCTTGTACGGGTGGTCACCAGAACATTTAGAAATAGAATCTTATTTATTATCCTCATTTAAAATTCCCCCAGAAGAAAACAAAGGGAAAGAGGTAATTGGGCTCGATTTATACCTGTTATGACGGTGTTCAGTAAATTGGGGAATCAGGGGAGCCCTAGTCTCTGTTTTGATTATTGTGAATAGATCCTATTTTTTGCCCATAAACAGTTATTTGTCTTCATTAAATGATCGTGGACATCTTTTGTAAACTTTGTTGTTATTTTTATTATGTGAACATTTTCAATAAAAACAAATGCCTGCCAGTTTAGCAGAAGATTGGCCATTTTCTGATGCCCCTTTAATTTTGATCAGGTATGACTATTCTGGGTATGGGCAGTCATCTGGAAAGGTACAGTGTTTTTTATTTTGAATGGTTATGTGGTTTCACTTATTTTGCCTGGAAATATAATCTACAACATGTTTTCTTTTCTTTCTTATAGCCCAGCGAGCAACATACATATGCTGATATTGAAGCCGCATACAAGTGTCTTGAGGAGAATTATGGTACTAAACAGGAAGATGTTATTCTCTACGGTCAGTCTGTTGGAAGTGGACCAACTTTGGATCTTGCATCTCGTTTGCCTCGATTAAGAGCTGTTGTCCTGCATAGTCCTATACTGTCTGGCTTAAGAGTTATGTATCCTGTTAAACGCACATATTGGTTTGACATCTACAAGGTTGCTTAAAATTCATCTTCTTATAAACGCAGAATCTTAAGCTTCTTGCATTTCTTTGTTTAGTTCATCTTTGTTCCAACATTGTGTTGCAGAACATCGACAAAATCCTGCTGGTCAAATGTCTCGTTCTCGTCATTCATGTAAGCATTTGAAGAACAACCATGCTTGAATTGTCTGTTGCATTTTGCACACGAGCATGACTCAGTTCAATATGTTCATCTCTTTATCATCCTCACATATTGTGGTAATCTAAAAAGATGAAGCATTTTCATTTGTCGTTAGATTTCATGTCAATTCTTTTAAGATCACGTTGATTTTATTGATTGTTGGGTAGATTTGTAGGATCGGTTACTCACTGAAAGAAACACTAAATCTTGTGCAGAAGTAATGCCTTCCGAACAATTCTGCGACACAATCACCATTGATATTATTGAACATTAGTCGAAAACAATTTTAACCGCCTACAATCTGTTATGCAGGGAACTGCAGATGAAGTTGTGGACTTCTCGCACGGTAAGCAGCTCTGGGAACTATGCAAGGAAAAATACGAACCCTTATGGATCAAAGGAGGAACTCACTGCGATTTAGAACTCTATCCTGAGTATATCAGACATTTGAAGAAGTTTGTGGCCACAACTCCATCACAGAGGATGAGTGCAAGGAAAAGCGTGGACCAGTTTGAGCCATCTAGGAAGAGTACAGATATTTTCGAGGCTTCAAGAAAGAGCACTGACAGGAGAGAAAAGCCCAGGCGCAGCACTGACAAGCCTGAACATATAAAAAGTCAGTCAAATAATCCTGATAAGCTAAGGATCTCATTTGATCAAATTGATAGGTCTCGGAGGAGTGTCGACTGCATTGAAAAATCCCGGAAAAGTATCGACCTTCAACTCGAAAGAGGTCGGAAGAGTGTTGACCGGTTCGAAAGGGTAAATTTTTTTCAAAACCAACTGTATTGAGTATAGGAAATTGATTGAGTTTGCTCTATTTATAGTCTGTTTGACGGAATTCTATAATAACTGGTGAATGAAATCAGAGAGAAATGTGGTGTTACAATGTCATTCTTCTTCTAATCCATTGGGATTGTAGGTTGTTTTGGTATGCGTTTCACACAGGATCCAGGTCCTTGGTGACCCGGTGCTTGTAAATTTCGGCAGGTTTACCCAGTCAAGGCCTGAATTTTATTTATTTCTTTATTTTTATTTTTTTTGGCCTAGGGGAAGAAAAGAAGCCAAACGTGACTCTCTACTGCAGCAGTTTTTTTTTTTTTTAATTAAATTAGAAATTTATAAAAATGGCCTCTAGGAAATGGAATTAGGCTGACCGGACACAGCCCAGTCTTGACTCACGTAATTTCCGGGATTCATTTTTGTTGATGGGCTGTGCAGCCACGGTGGAGAGTATCGCCGCGCACAGCGGCTGTGAATGTGGATTTTTTTGTTTTTCGAACTGATTTTACATTTTCTAAAAAAGATTTGATGGTTCAGTATCTTTACGACAGCATTTCGATACATTTTTCGAAGTTGAATATGTAGTTGTAGTGGATTTTTTTTTTTGGTTCAAAAGTGGTGGCGGCGTCATTGCTGGAGGAATTGATGGGTCTTAACTTGTGAGGATTTGGAGATTTGAGAATGAAATCGAAGCAACTTTTGAAAATTTTGAAGTGAGTGAGTGAATTTAGATCTAAAAAATATAACTTTATTTGAGTGACGGAGGGAGGAAGGAGGTAAAGTGCAGCCATGGCAATGGATTTTACTCGAGAGTTTATCAATTCCTCATTCTTGTTCGTGCTAGTTGATTTACAAGAATTATGTTTGAACTTTGTATTGCGGGCGTTGGACGAGTTTGGATGCATAGATTAATCGGGGAAATTATTATGGTATATACTTTTTAATTGCGTTAGCTTATATAATTTTTAATATAATGTTTTTTGCCGTTCGTTTTGGTTATTTCCAAGTTCACTTTTAGAATAAAAAATGCACGGACCATACTACAAATGCATAATCATTTACATAATACATTACATAATTGACATGTGGCGCGCATCCATCGGTGGTCTACAATTTTTGACTTTTTTACACTTCACATCCACGGCCGGATTTCTTCCACATGGGCCTATGTAATTTATTATGTACAATAATTATGTACATATAGATTTATCCAAAATGCACAATGACCACTTTGCCGAAATTCTGTTAACTTGGAACTTTGCAGGTAATGGAGGATGGTGGTGGTGCAGCTATAGGGCTCTCCATACATTCACTTTTATATCAAAAAATATAAACTTGGAAATGACCAATTCTGTTACTTTCAAAATTGTCGTTTCTCTCTCTATTTTGTTGGTTGTTAGAGTGGTGATGGTGTTTGTGGTGGTGGAGTGGTGACGGTTTGCAAATAGTGGCGGTAATGCTACCAGTGGTCATATGTTCATAGAGTGTACAATATGACATGTGCAGTGTGACTTGTGAACATATATGAGTGATATGTGATCAATTCTTTTTGATCTGTGACTTATGTACAATGACTAGTGACATGTGAACTGATAACATGGTACACGTGTTGACATATGGCTGACTTTATCATTAATATTTTGATCAAAACAAAAAAAGTTAAATTTTGATTCTAACAATTGAATTAAAGTTTTCAAATCATTCGATGTATTATTGATTGACCGAGAATAAAAAGATCATTATCAAGACTTGGAACTTTGCAGGTAATGGAGGATGGTGTTGGTGCAGCTATAGGGCTCTCTATATATTCACTTTTTTATCAAAAAAATATGAACTTGGAAATGACCAATTCCGTTACTTTCAAAATCGTTTCTCTCTCTCTCTCTCTTTTTTTTTAATACCTAGGTGTCCACCTTCTGCGACTAATTCTGGAGTCTACGCCTTGGCCCCTCAAGACACAGATCAAGTAAACCGTGGGATGTGCTCCAAACTGTCCAGGGTCCAAGAGCCCCCTCCACTGATCTGCCAAAGTGCCAAGCGAGTCAACACATGTTGTTTTTCTCTCTATTTTGTTGGTTGTTGGGGGGGGGGAGGGTGGAGGGGGTGATTGTGTTAGTGGTGGTGAAGTGGTGACATTTTGCAAGTAGTGGCGGTAATGCTTCCAATGGTTATATGTTCATAAAATGTACGGTATGACATGTGAGATGTATGTGACTTGTGAACTTATATAAGTGATTTGTGATCAATTCTGTTACGGGTCGGTGTTAGACCCTCCACCTCGATGCCACGTGTCAGCAGATGTTGCCCTATCGTAACACGCGTCGCCGAGGTGATTACCCCATAGGACGATCTGAGTGCGCACACCGAAATGATTACGTGAAGGATGAACTTAATAGGCACCAGCGAACGAACCGGACTCATCCGCCAACATTTCGGATGCAAAGGCCCGCACTTCGCTTCTGTAATGCTGTACGCCTCACCTGCCTCGCCTTATCAAAGATCTCTTGTACAAAGATCTTTCCAAAGTCAAATCACTGGCTGATGGGATACGTGGCAGGACTCAAACGGTCAAATCAACTGCTCTTGTCAGAAACATTCAATGCCAGCCAACCTATGGAGGGATTGATTGGTACCTAGGATGGGACAAACTTTGGAGATTTGGCAACACGTGTCTCCTCAAACACCTGTCTCCTCATCCAATGACTCTCCTCTTCCCATCTTTGGTATAAATACCCCCACCTTACGTCTGAAGAAGGATTGCAATCCAACACACTCAAAACTACCACTACATTGTGAAATTAAGTATCTTCTTCCCTCGAACATTAACACTTTTCGATACACGCTTTTGTCAACCACTTCCTAGCGAGTGTTCCACCGTCGGTGAACTTTTCTCCGGTTGAACTTCGAACTGACTTGACCATCAGAGTGCTTGCGGCCACTCCCAACCTCTCCGAGAAAAGCCACGAGTGACTAAGACGTGCCACGTATGCAGGAAGAGCTGATTTGAAGACATTTTCTGTTGGCCACGTGTCGGAGCCATTTTTCGAGGTCAACAGATTGGCACCATATGTGGGAATCAACTTTAACCACGAGTCTTCCCAACAAAAGTTGCTTGAATAGCCGGTTGAGGCTCTCCCTTGAAAAAGGGATTGGTTCTTGAAAAAGAATCTGCACATTAAGCTTCATTACTTTTGTCATCTCAGGTCATGAGTTCTAGTAACGAAGGGGTGAATACAAGAAGAGCAAGGGATGTTTCTAAGGAAGAGGTCATCCGAACGAATGTTACGCAGCAACGGCCTCGCCACCGTTATCGCAGGGATGGTAGAACTACTGCTCGTTTAACAGTCGAGGAGGCTCACATGGCAGCCAACATGAGGACCATTGCAGCCCATAACGCAGCTATGCAAGAGCTCCTCATGCAAGTGCGTAATCAGGGCGGTTTTCAAGCCCCACAAAACCCCCAAGACTCAACCCATAGACGAACTGAGGCCGAATCTAACAGGTGAACTCGATTGAACCTACAGGAAGAAGCGCCTGTTGAAAGAGAAGTGGGAATGGATACTTCCAACTATACTAGCGCTCCGGCTGATGACGCCCCTGTAGGAGAGTACAATTTCCCTCCGAAGTATAAACAACCTCAACGTTCTACCAGTGTGTTTGATCGAATCGAGCGGATGCCTAGGAATATGAACTAGCCCCCGCACCAAACAGCTCGACAGCAGGAGCGTGTGCAAAGTTAAGAGGTTCAGGCCCCTCTACCTAAAAATAGGCGAGAGAGGCGAAACCTGATGGATTGGGGAAACAGAGCTGAAACAACTCAACATCCACATCGCCCTGCAGCGGATGGGAACGATTCTGACGAACCATGTAGGTCGTACGAGCTGGACGATGATGATGACAACTTGCCCTTCTCTAGGGAGCTTCACACCTTTTCGATGCCTCATAACTTTGTCCTTCCAAAAATTCCCAAATATGAAGGAAAGGGCGATCCGGAGAAATATCTCAACAAGTACAAAACACAAATGAGCCTCCGAGGCGCCTCGCCGACTTTAAAATGCAGAACTTTCTACCTAACTCTTGGTGGGGCTGCTGAGGTGTGGTACAACAGATTGGTACCACTCAGCATAAGAAGTTGGCCAGACCTAAAAAAGGCATTCCTGAACCAATATCTTTGAAGGAAAGAGGGGAAGGTGCCAATTCAACGCTTGCAAGACATGAGGCAAGCAGCAGGGGAGACCCTAAAAAATTACCTTGCTCGCTTTACCGATAAGATAACCTATTGTGAACAAGTTACAAATAAGGAGGCCCTTTCTGCCCTGAAAGGAGGGTTGAACATGAACACTTTGTTCTGGAGAGATGTCCAAAGCAAAAATCCTTTGACATATGATGAGTTAGTAGAAATGATGAAAGTTGAAATTGTTAACGAAGAAATGATTGATCACAGAAACAGGGCTGCCCAAGGACTCCCACCCCCTCAGAGGCAAATAGGTAGGAGACCCACCTCTCAGATAGTGAGCCAGCAGTGGACTCAGGTCGAACACACTGTGGCTCCCACTTCGGGACAAGCACTGGCCACTGCCACTCTGAATGCAGTCCCCGCCTTGTCTTATGAAAATGTTGGGCCAAACATAAGCAATCCGACTAGAAATACGGGACGACCCTCAACCTCTAGAAATAGAGGAAGAGAGGGAATGCCTAGAGATATACCCCAGGAAGTGCGGCCTTACTGCACCATACATAACTATTATGAACATGACACAAGCGAATGTAGAGGGGCGAATAGGCCCACAAGCAACTCTCGTGACTCCAGGGATCACCGTTATCAGGATAACACTCCGAGGCGATGCTCCCCTCGAATGGGTGAAACGAGGCGACACTCCCCCCCATAGCGATAGAAATAATGATAGGGACATGCCCCGAAATGAGCAACGCCCTAGAAGAGAGCCAGTCGCCTCGAATGAGCAACAACCCATTCGCGAGATCGACACCATCATTGGCGGACCCCATGTGGGAGGTGAATAAAAAAATGCACAAAGGAATTATACTAGGGAGGCAAGATCCCCACCAATGACTAGCTATATAATGAACCAACCACACAGCGGAAGGGATGCAGAGCCTATTACATTCACCCAAGAAGATGCTGCAAATGTGCACTTCACACACTGCGACGCGCTGGTAGTCATAGCCGTGGTAGCTTGCAACGGGCTGAAACGCATGTTGGTGGATAAGGCAGTTAGGTCAACATCTTGTTTGGAACGACCTTTGACAAAATGGCAGTAGATCACGAGCTAACTCCAATGAGTTCGCCCCTTTATGGGTTCACCGGAGACAGCATCATTCCCAGAGGAAAAATTACTTTGGCTGTCGAAATAGGTGCATCACCCCAAGTGACACATCACTTCATGGAATTCCTAATTGTTGACCGCTGATCCACTTATCACGGAGTCTTGGGAAGGCTCGCTCTGAAGGAGCTAT